CACATCAATAACCCGGTTATGATCGGGTTTTTTGAGTATCCCGGTTTCTTCATGGTGCATGTAAACGCAGTAACCCGGTTATGGCAGTATCCCGGTTATTAGAAACCGAGTTACTGTAGCTGGTTTATTCCGATAGTAACCGGGATACTTGTGTCATGTAAACGCAGTATCCCGGTTACTGCAACATAAAGTTGAGTCACATGCGTCCAAAAGACACTTTCCAGCCTTTCACCACAACAGTAGTGACATAAATAAATTGACCAACATAAATAAAGTGACCAAACGAGTGAAATGACTGTAAAATAAAGAGCTGCGCTAAACCTGCACACGTACAATCTGCACTCGTACGACCTGCACTCGTGTGACGCTGAAAAACTAAAACATGAACTATCTCCTATACTCTATACGCACGGAACACACTTACCATCATCAGCACCTCTTCTGTCACAGAAATAACACACATAATCCACAGAGTCGTGTCATTTAGTCCAAAAGAAACTGATCGCATCAGCGGCGCAAGGAGCGAGTTGTTTTTATCGCCGCTAACAGTTTATGCTAATTAGCCTACGGTCTTAAGTTTCGTTTCTGTAAAACGTAAACAAATGTGATCAGAGCTGAATTATCTGATCAAACGGGCTGATGTGTCTATAGTGTTTATGGTTTATATGTTGTAAAGTTGAGTTTATTTATGCAGAAGATTTTAATGAAGAATCTGCACAGTGGATTGTGGGAGATCTCGTAGCTCCTTAGCTTCTTATGCTAAAGGAGCTCACGGTTTGTATTTTTCCTGGTTTATGAAATTGATTTAAGTTAATTTTTGCGCCTGCGCATTTGTAAGATTATGTCAAGAAACCGGGATACTCCATTTGATCATGTATACGTGGATATGAGTATCCCGGTTTCTCAGTGCGCATGTAAACGCAGTAACACGAATACTGACAGAACCGGGATATGGCTAATAACCGGGTTATTGATGTGCATGTATACGCACTCATTGATGAATACATTCCATTTTTCCCATTGCTCATCGTATTTGTCCCTTTCAGTTTAAGATTATATGTTATTCTTTCCATAATCCTGATCCAGTCTTGTTGTGCAGGTGGATCTGGTTGTAACTAACTCTTTGTAATTCCCTTTTTAGATGCAGCTAAAACAATTTTTGTCAAATACATGTCCTCCTTCCTTATTACACCAGAAGGAAACTTTTTTATGTGACACATTTGACATTTGATGAATAAAATGTTTGTGTTTCATATGAACTTTGCACAAAAAGTGGTTTAACGAAGACTTTTAGTGTCACAGACATGATTTTGCCTTTATTTTTATTGAACTGTATCGAATCGATTTGAAATATATCGTACTGAATCGAAAGCGCACTGTATCGAGATATGTATCGTATCGTGGCCTGCGTATCGAGATATGTATCGTATTGGCAACTTCTCAATGATACCGAGCCCTAGTGTGGACGCAAATTTTTTCAACCCGCAAGAAAAAAAATCCAGGAGAGTTGTCACGTGGACGTAGCCTCAAAGTACCAGTTATTTTCTAACACATTTCTGTAACCATTTAGATCACAATTTTATACAAAACTTTATCACTTAACCTTTATAAAACAGTGTAGTGGTTTTAACTCTTTCCCCCCTGGACTTGTACTAGGAACAACCCAGACATATGTTACTAGTTCTGCCCATAGAGCATAACTGCATAAAAGAAAACAGACTTCCACGAGTGATTATAAATGATTTTTACACTCATGAACTTAATTGTAACACAGACATATTTGTATCTCTGGAAACTTTAGACTCTGAACTCTTCATTTCTGGATGTTTAAATGTGATTCAACTCATTTACAGGTTTATAACAGCTCACTGAAAATGAGAGTTTACCTGGTCAGGTGCAAAATCGAAAACAAAAAACTACATTCAGCATCTTATATCTGCATGTTCTGAGTACTGTATTCATAAAAAAATAAAAAAATATACTTTGTCAAAGTATTTAAACAGATTTCATATCACCAGATACAGTATAGCCAAGTGTGCACCTGTTTTTACCTGTTGTACACCTGTGTGCACCCAATAAATTTTTTTCCATTTAGCTTATTCAACTAATTTAGCTTATTCAACTCATTTAGCTTATTATAATATAATAATATAATAATAAAACTCTTCCCTGTCAGTGTGAGTCCAGTATTTGTCATCTTGGCTATTTTCTCGTGTGCAGAGCTCCGCATAAGCGTTTTTTCTGTAGCGATTCTGTTATACATCGCATCTTGGAAAAAAAGACTGAAATATTTTAAAGGACTCGCCTGAGCAACATCCAGATTTCAGGGCAATTTTGGTTCATAATCGAGTATAAAGCTCAGATAGTTTGTTCGGATCTCGCAGGACTCCACACAGACGCATCAGCGGCGTTCTCATCTTCTCCCCGAAAGTCCGTCGCTGTCGCTGTTTTCCACTTTATAATCAACTTCAACATCATCACTTTGAAATCAATAAAAGTCACTTTCTCTAAACTTATCCATAAAATACGTCCACTCCTCATTATTTCTAAAACTGTGCGCTGCGATCTTTCCATTGCACGTGTTTCGTGTTGTGTTTTTTCCGGAAGCTACAATCGTCACTATTTCGATTAACTTCGGAAAAAATCAGCGAAAACATATCCTTGAATCCTATTGGTCAGTGTAGTGTGGGTTGTAGTGGCTCCACCTATCACAGTCTCTGTTTAAATGTGAAAAATCGAACTATTTCTAAAGGTCGTCAAATCTCGTCTTTAGTGAAACAGCGGAGGTGTCAAAAGTCGTCATTAAGGAAACAGGGGGGTCGTCAAATGTCGTCTTCATGGGGGAAAGAGTTAAACTGCACTCCACATGTTCTGAGCTCGGACCAATCAGAGCAGGAGACGCAGCGCCATCAAGTGGAACGTAACGCAGTAAAAGTAGTACTGTATAGGGATGGGATGCAACAATAACTGATATAATATCAAATCGACACTGGTCTCATGATTCAATAAAGGTGATCGTTCAATCGTCCTTCCATGTGCGCTGTGTTGTCATTTGTTTTGAAAAACTGTTCTCACGGCGTCCTCTTCAGATGCAGGAGAAAACCGCTCCATAGGGACTTACTAGGAGCGTAACGATATCCAAGTCTCACAATACGATATCGTCACGGTATGAACCTCACGGTACGATGTTTATTGTGATATTGTGGGAAAGCTCATGATTAGAGATGTAACAATATCCAAATTTCTCAGTACGATATTTTCACGATGTACATCTCATGGTACGATATTTATTGCAATATTTTGTGGAGGCTAAACAGCTAAAACTGTTAATATTAGAGCCCGACCGATATGGATTTTGTTGTGGCCGATATGAAACCGATATAATGGGAGTTGGAGCTGCCGATATAATCGCCGATATATTTAGTGATGTAAAATTCACTGTAAATCTTGAATTGTTTAAAAAACTTAGGTTTGGCTCTAGTGGATTCTAAATTGGGTTTATTTAGGCAACATTTATTGTTGTTCTGCCTCTTTACATCATATTTACATACAGTAGATTGGCCTAATGGCATTTTTGCATCACAAAAATATACTACTACTAGTGATGGGTATTCCAGTTTTTTTTTTGGAGAACCGGCTCTTTTGGCTCGGCTCACTAAAGCAGCTGGCTCTTTTGGCTCCCAAGCGACTCTTGAGATTGTTTTGTTGCAAGCAGGACTAAACCAAAACTGAACCAGGACTGAAAAAGGACTAAACCAGGACTAAAACAGATTTAAACCATGTGTAAAACAGGACTAAACCAGAACTTAAAGGTTGTATAGAGGATTTTTTTAAGGAAAGAGAAATCCAGCGACAGTCCTTGACACCACCTTCCTCCTCCACAGGTCCCTCTAGAAATAATTTAGAGACCAACACCTCAGTTTTTAGACCCTTTGTCTGCTTCAGTCGCACAATCACTGAAAGGAATCTCCAAGAATCACCTCAGTTCGTCTTCGCTCCTTTTCTCCTTCTCTTCGTCTTTCAGCGACCTCAAAAAACGACTTTCTTTTGCGGCGAACTGGTGGTCGATTCTCCTCCGACATTGCAACAAACTTTATGCGAACTGCGAGAGAGCCACAATTAGAAAAAGCCTCTAAGAACTGCTGCATAGTTACCTTAGAAACGTAAGGAGTTTGATTGGCGACCTAACAGCCAATAGAAAATGAGGCAGCCTCGTTTTCTATTGGCTGATGTTTATCTGGCCTCAACACGTCCACAGTTGATAGATTTTCTTTCTTTTTTTTTTTGGTCATCATAATTACAAAGCTGCTGCGTCTCTGTAATGGTGTTTTAAACTTTCATTGACAATTTGAAACAAACAAAAAATCCTCCATACAACCTTTAACCAGGACTGAGCGTCGGGACTCGGTTTCTATCTTTCTCCTTCACTCGAGCCCAAGATTAGTCCTGGTTTATTCATTTTATGCTGAACTGCAGCCAAATATGCACTTTTTTTTTTATCCTATGCACACGCAGATTTCTGAAAGTTTCGTTTTCAGCCGCTGCTGCTGTCAAACTACGGGTCTACATGCGGCATGAAGAGAAAAAGTGAGAAAAAGAGAAAACACGGCTCCCAATAAGAAACATGCTCCCGTTGTTCGCTTCAAAGAGCCGGATCTAAGAGCCGCTTCGATCGCGACCGACCCGTAACTCCTAGCTAGTAAATAAACTACCGCTATTAGCCTTTAGCCGACTGAAAAGTAAAAGTATGTTTTTATTATTGTGTGAAACCTGCTGAAAAGTCTGAGGGGGGTATTTTTAACAAACTAAAATATACAAATAAAAACAAAGAGAGAAAAACTACTGATTGATTCACAACTCTGCACAAATCTGAATCAAAATCAGTACATTTAAAGCTTTGTTAGATCTCAAAATCTACATGAAACACTTTTACTTCTTACTCTTAAAGTACATTTTTAAGCATGCACTTGAATACTTTTAGTTAAATCAGTTTTTCTCACCTGACATGAGCTGGGCGAAGGGTTCCGGGCAGGTGGAGGGGATGGGGAGAGTGAGTTTGTTGACGGCGACTCCGTAGGCCACAGCCAGACCGTCGATGCCTCTGTACGGCGCCTCTCCGGTCAACAGCTCCCAAAGCAGAACACCGTAACTGTGAGAAGAAAACAGGGATCAGTTTAGATCAGAAGTTACTTTTATGTAGAAGCAAGACGATGTTTTGGAAGAGTTTTCATGCCGGATGCCCTTTGGTTCAGCCCCATAAGTGTGAAAAAGACACATTTGTTTATGTTTTACAGACACTAAACTTAAAACCACATGACTCATTTGCATAAACTATAAGTGCTGAAAAAATAGGACAATAAAAAATATTATAAACTGTAGGGACGAGACACGATTTCGACAGGACAAGAAAAGATACGAGATTGTGTTGACGAGATGAGACTTTCTTAATATCGACATTTCAAGATTCAGTTTCCATTTTTGACCTGACAGTTTATTTATTTGATTTCATAGTTTTGTTTCCGTTCTAGTGCTGCTTTTTGAAACTGTAAGGCTACGTTCAGACTGCAGGGCTTAACGCTCAATTCGGATTTTTTGGTGAAATCCGATGTTTTTGCGAGGTCGTTCACATTTCCAATTAAATGTGACTTGTATGTGACTCCAGTGTGAACATTAAACGGCCCAAAAGTGTCCCGCATGTGACACTGGAGACACGACGACGTCAACCGCAGCGAGCGTCTCTGTGTTTACGGAAGTTGTCCAAACATGGACGCAGCATCGAGCACCTGGAGATTTTAAAGTTCCTCTCGTACCGGAGCCAGAACATGAACAACTTACTTGTTTTAAGGAGGAGATTGAGAAGGAGAAGGACGAGGTTTTTGGTCGTGGTGTTTTGTGGTTCAGTCCGTTGAAAGGAACGTGTGGATGTGGAGACGGAGCCAAGAGTGGTGAGTGGTGATGTGCTTCACTTCAGTGACACAGAGTTCATTAACAATTTTCGCCTACTTCAGCGCAGAATAGTGACGTTTGTGGCTTGTTGATGACGTGTAGGTGGATGAATGCACTTTGGCCGTTCAGACTGAAGTCACATGTCAAAAGATCAGATATGTATCAGTTTCAGGAGCACATATCCAAGGCTGTGTTCAGACTGCAGCCTGAAGTGACCCAAATCAGATTTTTTAGCCTCTATGTTCCTGTATCTGATCTTTTAATGACAGTCTGAACGACACAGATCCGATTTTTTCAAATGTGACCCAGGACACTTGGATATGTGCTCCTGAAACTGATACATATCTGATCTTTTGACATGTGACTTCAGTCTGAACGGCCAAAGTGCATTCATCCACCTACACGTTATCAACAAGACACAAGTCACTATCTCACACTCACCACTCTTGGCTCCGTCTCCACATCCACACGTTCCTTTCAACGGACGTCGCTGCCGCTGTCCCACAAAACACCACGACCAAAAACCTCGTCCTTCTCCTTCTCAATCTCCTCCTTAAAACAAGTAAGTTGTTCATGTTCTGGCTCCGGTACGAGAGGAACTTTAAAATCTCCAGGTGCTCGATGCTGCGTCCCTGTTTGGACAACTTCTGTAAACACAGAGACGCTCGCTGCGGTTGACGTCGTCGTGTCTCCAGTGTCACATGTGGGACACTTTCAGGCCGTTTAATGTTCACACTGGAGTCACATACAAGTCACATTTAATTGGAAATGTGAACGACCTCGCAAAAACATCGGATTTCACAAAAAAATCAGAATTGAGCGTTAAGCCCTGCAGTCTGAACGTAGCCCAAGTGTCCTGGGTCACATTTGAAAAAGTCGGATCTGTGTGGTTCAGACTGTCATTAAAAGATCAGATACAGGAACATAGAGGCCAAAAAATCAGATTTGGGTCACTTCATGCTGCAGTCTGAACGCAGCCTAAGAGATGGAACTCACCAATACCTGACCCGTTTTTCTCTAGTTTAAACGTAAACACTTGGATTTTTCCTCTCGTGTGCGCGATCTTGTGTCAGTTTCGTCTCGCGAGATCTTGTCCCATCGCTAATAAACTGTGACGCGAAGAATAATATTTAGTTATTAAAATATACTGAAAATGTATTACGTGACATATTCCGTTTCCTGGTCCAATCAGAGCACTGCATTCTGAGCACTTCAAATACTTTTACATCAAGTTGCGTCATATTATGGTGTAAAAAACAAACACAAACATAATCGTTGGCCTTGGTCCACAATGGGACTAAGGACGGAAATAAGCTTTGGCTGCGATCCTGCATATTTACAACAACATGTTTGTCTCTTGCATTATCCTGTCTTTTAATATCTATTGTCCCTTTAGTAAATAAATACAATACAACTACAAGTGCACTGTTTGTTACACATTAAGAACAGTTTTCGGTGTAACGGGGTATAAAGTAAAGTTATAAAGTAAAGTTACAACGTGTTACAGTAACATCATTTACTTTTTCCCGCTAAAAATAATGTAAAGTGCTACTACTGAAAATTTGGTTTGGTTTTTCAATTCAACTTTACTTTTCTGTGTACGTGGGCAGAGTGAGGACGATCTGCCCCGGTGGACAACAGGGGGCCCCGTCCACGAGAGGGCGACATTTTTTGTCATTAAATTGAGCCAAAATCATGTAGAAATGTGTTTTGTGAATATTTTTTTCACTGAATGTTGTCACCACATGTGTTCTTTGCATTTGGAATGTATTTGTAGACAGCTTATCCAATCCACTGAGGATCTGAGGAAATTTATAATTTTTCAAAATTTTCTATCACAAAATGAAGGTTACCGACACTAAAATGGCCACATTTTTTTTTTTCGCGATATTTCCGGAAGAGCAGACCCTCCAATTATTGGTCCTCAGGGTCACAGTTAACAAAAATAACACAAATAAAAAGTATGGCAGGAGATGTTAGGTTCAACCCATTTTCTAGAGCACAGGTGTCAAACATAAGGCCCGGGGGCCAGATCCGGCCCTCCAAGACCTTAAAATGTGGCCCTGGGCTGATTTTCTACTAAAATATTTTTAATTATATTTTCTATTAAAATCTTGTTAATTTTCTGTGGTGTTTGTCACAGCAGCGTCTCCAGCGTCTCTGTACGTGGCCCCTCCCACCAGAGCAGCACAAATGAAGACTTGTCTCTTTCCAAACGCTCTTAAAGGACGATCGTTTTGACTGTTGACCGTGACACCCTCATCAGAAAAATGTCCAACATGAGAAAAGTGGAGCCGAGTGCAGGATTTTACAACAAAAATGGACTTATTCCTATTTGCAGACAAGTTATTTTTAAAACATTGTGTTGAAATTTTATTTTTCTTAAAGTTTCAGGTTGTTCATGATATTATAATATTTTGTAAAAGAAAGAGTTCATCAATTAAAAAAGATTTCTGTAATAGATTTGTGTTTTCTCTGCACAAATATTTGAATTTATTGTTATTTTTGGGGTTTATATGACATGAGTTTTCTGATCCGGCCCCTTTGGGATCAAAGTCGGTTGGATACGACCCCCGGAACAAAATGAGTTTGACACCCCTGGTCTAGAGCTTTTGAGACTTTGGCTCCCTGACTACTTGTGAAGAACCGGTCACACCAAGCAGTCGTCCCCTCACCCGCCAAGTTAAATCCCCCGGACAGACTGCGTGGACCCACCCGTTTACCTGATTTCACATGAACTTTCTCTTCAAAGTTCTTTTCAACTTTCCCTTACGATACTTCGACTATCGGTCTCGTGCTGATATTTAACCTTAGATTGGTGACTTTTTGGTGGTCAACTCCAACGTAACAAGTTTCTTTCCATAGAGGGTAACAGAAGGGATTATTTTTGTAATGTAATGTAAAGTATAAGATAAGACATGCCTTTATTAGTTCCACAGTAGGGAAATTCCAGTGTTGCAACGCTCAATTCAAGAACAGCAGGAAAATGGTAACATGCAATAAAACAAGATCATAGATAATGGCTTAAAAATGATTTAAAATAGACTTAAAAATAGACTCTAATGTAACACACTGTTTCGGTGGAGCAAAAATATAAAGTACCAATAAAAAAGTGCAAAATAAAATAAGTAACGAGCAAACAGAACTTTTTTACTTAACTTTTTTTTTTACTTTAACTTCCTCAACACTGATTAAGAAACTAACATTAGAGAATGAAGTAAGTAGTGAGCAATAGCCGAGTTCTGGTAAAAGCTGGTGAAATGTAAGTATATGGGCCCAGTCAAGCAGAAGTAAACAACAAGGCCAAAAATACAAGTTAATTCATCTGATATAAAAATGTATTGAACAGATACATATGTACTCTAGTTTATGAAACTGTTCACCTTTTTTCTGGACCATTTTTGGTTGTAAAGTTACATGTTTTAAACAGACCATGTATGAAACATGGAACAACAATTATTTCCCAAATTTCAAAGACCTGAAAATCATGTAAATAAATGGATGTATTTCATCATATCTTGTGTTATTCCATCTTTGAACTGTTGATGAAGGTTCATGATTTTAAAAAAAAAAAAAAAATTTTAAAATGATAAAAATTTGCTTGGAAGGACTGACATATTTTATAGAAATAGTTTCCTTTCATTTTGAAGTAATATTAAAGTATTCAGAAGAAAAAAGTTGACAAATGATGTAAAATCCTGCACCTTCTCTACTTGTTTGTACAATTTTCCCTCCGTTACTTTTCCCTCCGTTACCATGACCTTTATTAATAAAAAAATCACATGAGTCAAAAAGTAAGAGGTTTTTCAACCTAATCTTGTACCATATGGTAGAAAACTATATGAAGCAAATATTCAAACCAGTTTGTTAAGGATATGTAAGTGAGAACCAAGAGTTATCACTGTTTGGATTTATTGCCCAAAAAGTGCTGCATATTTCATTCCCTCCGTTACCGACATGAGTTTTTAAATTTTTTGTCAACAACTTGGAAGAATATCACAGGTTTAACTTGACCCTGTTGGAGTGTAACTCTTTCCTACATTCTGATACTTTACTTATTTCAATAGTTCCTCTAGTTTCTGAATAAGACATTTGAATGTCAAAAATCTGCCCCTGTTTCCCTCCGTTACTGTTTGACTGAACCCATAAGTGCTTTTTAAATGCTGAACAAATCACAAATTACAATATCGAAAGATAAACAAC